CACACGCTTTCAAAGAACATTGAACTAAAAAGTTAAAAATATTTTTTTAAATAAGCCTAAAATAATAACGAACGAAAAATAATAATATTATTGTGAAAAAAGCGTGGGTGCTTTGTGCCATATTTTTGTATATCAATCAAACGTCGTTTTTCTTAAAAGAATACTACTATTTTTCGTTACTTATTGTTTTAAGCTTATTTGAAAACATATTTTTATCTTTTTAGTTCGATATTCCTCAAAAGCGTGTTTTCTATTTTTGTTTTAACTATATTTATTTTGATATCTATTCTGTATTGTTCAATGTTCTCAACTGTGTGAATCAGAAAACAATTTTCAGTAGTGACTCCGCAGTATTTCATTTATAGTTTCGATCATGTCATTCATTTTGGTGGATATAAAGAAACTGGAATAGAGAAGGTTGGCAATAAAATCAACCCAAAGTTAGAAGTATACATATTTATTTCTAATATTCATATATACATGTCTATTTCTACATAACTTATATTCTCTTAGGATCACACTGGGCTTAACAACCGTAAAAATACATGCACAATATCAAAGTGATCATACAGAACGAACGTGAATGTAAACCCTCCAATAAATAACTTTACAATGATGGAATACATCAGTTATGTCAACAGTGTCATCGCCTATTTTTCAATAATTTCACTCTGGTTGTTGCTGGGACTTCTGAATTACCAACTCTCTAATTGAAACCAAATCACTCCAAATGTGACGAAGAATTGGGAGTTCACCACAGTTGGAACCAAAAGAACCTTTTCAAATTAAAATATTGTGTGAATTGTTTTCCAAAATAAGTTTTCAATAAAGTGAGAAATTATCAAAGAGTGGAAATGCTTTTACTTTCGTCAGCGAGCAATACGTATGAAACAATTTATTTTCTGTTTGTCTGGTTGATTTGTGCGTTCTGGAAAATTATAAAAGAACAAGTACCAGCCTTTTTCGGTCGATTTACAGAAATTTCCATTGGATCAAAAGTCAGTTAGTGAAAAAAAGCAGATATCATTTACATTCGCTCTGTATTGGCAAAACAAATATTTCAAGAAACATATTATCCAAGACCAAAATATGAAAATTACCCTGAGAAACCTGTTTGGAAATGTATATTTACTGGGTGCTTAAGATTACGATAAGAGTGTTGAGAACATGTATTTCAGGTCTTAAATGATATAACAAAAATAGGTAACAATAAAACAATTACTAATTCAAAATGGCACTGCTACTGAACTGAAAATCAAAGATGTTCGAATCATCGGAGAGATAACATATTAAACAGGAGGAAATAATGTTTCGATTCAGAATGAGAAATTTAAAAATATATTAGTATTCTAGTGGACTAACTATGAGCTGTGTTCGATAACAATATTCACTGTTATTTTTGAATGTACAGAGTGGGCCTGTTTCCAAACTAGATAAATGAAAACTCATGGCAATGTCTGTGGGTCCAATTTTATGACAAACTTATTGATGAAAATGAGCCTTTTCCAAAAGTTGCTGTAACTTTTTTCTGTCAGAAATTTCTTGTTTGTTATTTTCAAATGTAATGAACCATTTTTTTATTGAGACACTGTGTATATTCCTGCATATTTCAATAAAGCTTGAAATTACCTATCCAAAAATGTAGCACACTTGTTGTTTTGCTAGAGTCGTCTTTGAAATACAGAGTTTTCAGGTTTTTTCATGTACAACTTTGAAACGCAGGCTTTAATCAAATAGGCTTCGGACGTAGCGTGTATGAAACATAATGCATATCTCTACTGGTAGCTGTCAAATTTGGATTTGGGCTCTTCAATAAGTGTTCTTTTTTTGTTCAAGTTTCAAACAAATTCGCAATGAAGTATGAGAGTTAGTAAAATTGGATATGATCGTGTGTTTTATACAAACCGGGGAAAATGCAGAAGAAGCAAGCAATTTATATCACGAGGTGTATCCAGAGAGTTATTAACAACCTTTAAGATACATTTTCTCAAGATTGCGACACAACCTAATTGTTGGTGGTTAATTTGAAAAGAAAAGGCCAAAATTATATGAATCAAATATGGATAAGGAGTTAGAAGAAATAGTCGATTCAGGAGCTGTTAAAAATAATCCCAAAACGTCAACGCGAAATTTGAGAGTATCAACAGGCAGCAAGAACGAACACTAGGATGATTCTGGAAAACACATATTCAAGCCATACAGGACCAGAAGAGTTCATCAACTTAGACCAGGAGATTTTGAACGCCGCATGGTTTTTTGCCAATAGTTCCTGGAGATTCTTATATTTGGGCACAACAACATCCTCATTCTATTGTGGAGCAGAGAAGTCAAAGAAAATTATGATTTAGTGTGTGGGCCTGCTCATTTATATTGGCACTCTCACATCTCAGAAGTATTTAGAAATTTTAGGACAAGATATTGAAACACTCGTTGATGGAGTGCCACCAATGGAGTTCAGAAAAATATATTTACAACAAGTTGGGGCTTCGCCTCACAACATTGCAATTGTCACCAATTTTTGGCTGCAAATTTTGGTGATAATTGGATAGCCAACCAAGGACCCAACCGTTCACCGGCCAGGTCACCGGACCTAACGCCTATGGACTTTCATCTCTGGGGAATGTTGACAGATCTCATTTTTAAATTGCCGACCAATTCTAGATACGAATTGGAAGCGTTAGTGATGCAAAGTTTTGCTTCTCTCACTTCTATTGAACTCATTTCTGTAAAAACCGTTCAGAAAAGATGACGCCTGAATATAGGAGAAGCTGGTGGATATTTTGAATACCTTCTCTGAAAAAAAAAATTTCATTGTTTGTTCTTTATCATTATTATTATTATTGATGTGATCAAAGTGTGCGTTTCAAAGTCTAAATGAGAAAACACAAAAGCTCTTCATTTCAAAGATGACTCCAGCAAAACATCAAGTGTGCTTCATTTTTGGATAGGAAATTTTGAGCTCTATTGAAATTGCAGAAATATACAGAGTGTCACATTGAAAAAAATTGTTATTCATCAATAACTATTAGTCTGGGCTTTAAGTTTAGATTCGTGTTAAATTTACATACTTTCAGTAAAATTAAGTGGTTGGGCTCATTCGATCCGGAATATTGTGTAGATCATTTTGAAAAAAAAAAGTAAATTAGTTCATAAAAAATCTGAAAGTTATAAACAAATAAAGACCCTAAAAAGCAGGAATGTTTTCATAGAAACAAGAAATTTTCAACAAGAAAAAGTTACAGCAACTTTTTGAAAATACACATTTTTGAAAAACATGCTGCAGCTCTGAAACTATGATAGATATCGATATGCGGTTTTCACTTTTGACTTTTTCATAAAATTCGACCCTCAGATACAGCCATCAGTTTTCATCTATCCAGTTTGAAAGCAGGAGTTTCCCTTTAAAAGTATCCAATTTGGCTCACTCTGTACAATGTATCGTAAACAGTTGAAATATATGTCGTGTTTGATATCTTTGATTTTCAGATGATTCAACCAACAATCTAGTCCACGTCCACAAATAAAATATAAACACATTTCCGATGCGTTTCCCCGTTAAAGCCAAATAAGATGTAATCTGGTAAATTATCTTTAAAATCAGTGAACATCAAATTACAACAATAGATACGGGCTTCGATTCGTTTCGAATTTAACCATTTTGTTTCCGCTATTCAATTCAAAATGAATTATCGCAGTCCAGAGTAAACGGTTAAAAAGCGAAAAAAATTCATATTGTCGGCGTTTCATTTATACATTGTTATACAGGAAGTTGTGTGATTGGAATGCAGCTATTTTAAAAGCGGTTTTATTGTAATTTCATGCCATTTACCATGAATATTGGTGAGAAAAAATCAGGAATATATATTTTACTATCTCGCTTGATATATGTAGGTGAATCAAAGTTGGCCTAATGGAAAAAGTCCAATTTTTAGTTTCGGAATGGTTGCAAGAAATTACTAATGTAAATGAAATAAGAACATTTTGAGTAGTATTTCTAGTGGCTAACTGATTTTACTGCTTTGATTGACGACTTGTTCATTTCGTGGAAATTCATGTTCACTATACACTATAAAACACACTTTTGTTGGAATCTATGGAAATAAACAAATCAAAAGAAAAATCCCAATTCAATCATCCTCAACGAACAACTTGATCTAAACAATAGTCCTCTGCTGAACCTATAACCCAGTTATCAATACCTAAATTTTTTTTCAAATTTTTTTGTGATGCTCATCGATATTCTGCTATTAACTGAGGTTATCCCAGGTACAGACAATATATGCATCAAATTATTTATGATAGGTATAAGTAATGTAGGTATAAATACTCAGATTTGAATGTAATCTAATTAGTTTTGAAAATGCTGTAATGACCGAAACTATTCAACAAATATAAAACTATCGTTAAAAATAGACAAAAGTGTGTTTTTATAGTTCATCCAGCTAACTGATTTTATGACTCTCCACTCTATGAGATATTCCCTCAATGAATATAACTTGAGTATAACATGTTCTCTTACCTAAATTGTACACATCTGAAATTGCAAGTTTGTTCATCAAAATTTCATTACAGTCATTTTGCGTTTTCAAAATTCAAAATTATTTTTGAAAACAATCTTGATTAGAAATTTGTAGCTTTTTCATGGAAAAATTTGGTTTTCAAGAACGGAAAAAAGCAGTTCTCTGACATGTCAGCCATTTGTAAAAAAAGTTAGATGTATAAATGATATTTCCTTCAATTCATCTTATTTGATACACAAGTTACTGAGTATACTCTTTATTGTGTAATATGTGCAATAACTTTTGGCGTCCTCAGTTTACCTTCATCAGCTTTGAGCAGACCTTCTGCTGAACTAGATTCATTTATATTCCTCAGATTGTGAAAAGTTGAGAACATCAGGAGTACTGAACATTGTGTTTGATCATTATGCAGCAATTTTGACCAATGATCCTCCAAATCGAAGTTATTACCTAATAACTTCGATTTGGAATTAGAATTAGAGCTTTCCATTAACAATGCTTTTAAAGCGGTCTCTTTTCTGATTGCTTTGGAAGTGAATATTACTGAATTTCTATTCTAACACGAAACAGTTATTTTCAACACCTCGACATGTGTTTCAATTACCAAGTGATCATCTTCAACAGGAAGATAAAACAGTTTGATCTTCATTAAAACGGGTTTTGAACTCACTAAGAAGATACAAGATAGCCTCAGGTCGGCTAAAGACAAAAGGGACCCATGATCAGCAACAGGGGTTTATCGCATACTGTTCACTTATGGGAAGGTATACATCGGAACCAACAAAAGATCCATAGCAACAATGCTGAAGGAGCACGAAGGGAACTGCAGACTAGGCCAAACGAACAACTTGGCTGTGACCATAATACGCAGTCAGTGGAGGAAACCACATGATTCTGTTTGAAACGGAACTCATTGCCCCAACCAGTGATACCGTAGTCGACTGGTACGGGAGACAATAGTAATCCACAAACACACGAATAATTTCAACAAAATGATTTTTTTTCGATATGTGCAATATTTTTGAGCAGATTCAGTAATTTTTCTCAAGAGTATTTCATGTATTTACATAAAAATTTTCATTTTTATAAAGTGAAAAGTCGTCAAACGTCAGATGTTTACCTTCTTGTTAGATTTCTGCAATTAACGCCAGTTTTACTCATAAAGTATAGAAAATTATAGTAACTATAGAAGGGTTGATTCCGTGAAACTGCACTAGTCAGTGTATAATATTATATCTATGTACTACGCCCCATATGTTTTTCCTGAACCGTGACCTTTCACCCGTTACTGAATCGTAAAACTAAATGAACTATAGAGTGTTAGAAATGTCTTCCATTTCAAAATAACTGCTCAATCACACAATCCTCCAACAAACCTAACCTTTTTACACATTGAGCTTCACACTCTCCCTTACTCTTAAAGGGCGGTGAGTCCGTAATCCGATTTAATAACGGGCTGCGGCGTCCCTGGCACCCCACACCCCTCCGAAGACGAGAGGGCGGCGAGCGACTGCCCCATCGACCCTATGTGCATGCCACCGTCCCCGTGCAGCATGCCCCCGTGGTGGAGACTCGTGGGGGTCATCTGATGGGCCAGATGCCCGCTCAGCGACATGTCCATCATGTCCTCCCTCAACCCCTCCAGGTCCCTGTTGTTGTTTTTCCGTTTGTCATTGTTATTGCCCGGAGTGCCGTTTTGTGTTTTTCCCCGAACTTTGCCCCCCGACTTGGCGGCGGTGGTGACCCCGGCGGGGTTGGTTTTTCTGCGGACGTTTTTCGTGTTGGGCAATTTGTTATCCTTCTTCCACTTCATTCGACGGTTCTGAAACCAGATTTTGATTTGTCGCTCGGAGAGGACCAACGTGTGAGCGATTTCAATGCGGCGCCGTCTTGTGAGGTAGCGGTTGTAGTGGAATTCTTTTTCTAGTTCGAGGATCTGGTGGCGGGTATAGGCGGTGCGCTGCCGTTTTGGCTCCATGCCCGGGGCGAAGGCTCCGGTGGCTGTAACAACGAGAAACGAATGTTAGAAAAAGAAAGGACACATAAAATGATCATATCACTGTATTTCAGTATCCGTCGTGGTATTATCTAGGAAAGAAGTTGATTGTGGTAGGAATTTGACAGATTTGAAGGGACGTTGGCAGAGGAGGTGAATTATAGGTATTTTTTTTAAAAGACCGTTGTTTTCAGATGGATACTAAATTGATGTTAAGAGAGATGAATGAAAATCAAAGATCCATTCTAGAATTGCTCAACTAACGGGGAACATTGTTATGTTCAAGCTGCGTTGCACACATTTTTGTGTGTTGTTATGATTGAAATTGTTCGTTTGTGTTTATAATATAAAAATGCAGTTTGGTTAAAAGTAAAATATACATTTGTTCCCCCATCGAAAGAATATTACATAAACACCACTGATTTCAAAGAAAAGGTTAAATTTCATAACAAATATATTCTGAGATTATTATTCTTCAGAAACCAATAAAATTGTGGTATCTCGAATAATAATAATAATAATAAATAATAATAATAAAAAATTATGCATCTCTATAGGAGTTTGCATCCCAAACCGTTTCACGGTTGTACTTTCCTCGACAACAGGTAGGCCGTGGACTTTCGTCGAGAGTGTCTTCATGACAAAATGGTCTGGATGCAGCCTGTAAAGTCGTCAGAAGTTCGGATCCCCTTCTCTGCATGGTCCGTGATCATGAGAGAGCAGGAATTGGAGCATTTCTTTGTAGGGCAGCTGCCCGAGCAGCTGATGAATTCGGTATAGTTTTCGACACTGAACGAGGTGACCACAACTCTGTTACTGAGTTGGAACCCGTTCAGCAAAAAGCTCAGATAAAAGCCGCAGAGATCACCTTACTTCTGCGGAAACAAAGATGAGCCAATGCATGGGTTCTTTTTTTATAACATTGGAGACCTTGGCTTATCAAAGCGCCTGACGTTCGCTATTCTCAAGTCGAGTGGACTGAAGTCGGAAACTGAGGGGTTCATGATGGCCTGCCAGGATGGTGTCTTCAATACCTTAGTCTACCGCAGTCGCGTGGTGGGTATAGAGGTTCCTGACACAAGGTGCAATGCCTGTCGCGAGGCGCCTGAGACCCTAATGTACTTGCTATCAGCATGTCCGGCATATGCGGTTTCGCCCTATATCCATCGAAATATTGCAGCCATAAGAGTGCTATATTACCATCTACGGCACTCTTACGGTATTGACGAGACGTAGATGTTGCCCTACGCTTTGGAGGATATTGAATCCTTTGTGGGGAACGAGAAGTATGAGCCTGATGTAGTCCTTCTCGACCACCAGAGCAAAACGAGGAGTTTTCAGCTCCTGGCGAGACAAATATCGTCAGAAAAGAGGAGAAAGACGGATAAAATATCGAGATTTTCTCTTCGAACTCCGCAGACTCTATTCAGATCACTCTGTCAAGATGGTTGTTCTGATTATTGGAGTCATTGGTGGAATGATGTCTTCTTTACTCTCGAATCTTAAAATCATACCGGCTTACCGCACTAAGGCAGAAATCTTAGCCGCACAGATGCAGAAGGCTGTCATTCTTGAATCACAGCGTTTGCTCAGGCACATGATTCTCGGACCTAATGATCACTTACCCCACGGTGTGGGGAGTGGTCATTGGTTGATAATGCTGGCGCGCCCTCCCGAATGTATCGGGGCTTCGGGGGATAGGGCCTGACCACCGCACACTACGGTGGAAAAAAATAATAATAATATGTTTATTTACCAGCAATAGAAAGAGTTTTCATTACATCGTATGCAATTTCAGATAGAAAAAAAAAGAAAAACAATCAATTAAATGGAATGTTCTAGATATGGGTAATACACATCGAGAAAACCCATTAAAACCCTAAGGTTGTGCATGGGAATTCTTTACTAATTGTGTTACCAAATAATCTTCGAATAGTATTTCAGTGTGAGTATTTACAATATTTACAATATTGTAAATACTCACAAAGTAAATGACAATGAAAGGAGAATCGAAAATTCAGATCATTTCTATAGCGATGAAAGTAGGGAAATTTTGATAAGTTATTTGTTATCAATTATATTTAATATGATTTCATGATCTACATTGAAGAGATACTTTTTGAATATATTTTCTATTAGTGGTATCGAGTTGACTTTCATTACCTTATTTTTATGCATATCGTCTAGAAAGTTATGGAATTTATTTGCTAAAAAACTGAAACAACGCTGTCCCACCAATGTTTTTGTTGTCTGTATTCGTACCAACATTTTTGCTTTGTTTCTTGTGGTATAACTGTGCTCTAACTGTTGAAGGGTGTATTTATTTTCACTTGTGAAAATTGCTATGTCGTTCAAATATATCTTTCAGACGCTGAGGATAGCTGAATCCTCAAAAGCTTTTTTAACGGATACATATATTTTTCTTTGGAAATTATTTTCAAAATTTTTTTCTGTACTATTTCAAGTTTTTGAAGACGGGTATCAAGTACACCACTTCAGCTAAGGATACTATATCGCAGTCGTGACTCCACAAGAGCATAATATAAAGTTTTGAGGGAACGAGTATCTAATATTCTATTGAAGCATTTGGTCTTAAACTTTTAGTTACTTCATCGATATGATGATTCCATCTTAAATGACAATCTATTGCAACCCCTAGATATCGGACTCTCTCTGCTTGTTTGATGGCAATCTGTTAATTGGTTTTTCCCAGTGTGAGTTCCTTGAACTCACGTAACTCAGTTCTGTAACTCGAAAGAAGTATATAAAAAGTTTTGTCAAAATTTACGGTAAGCAACTTATGGTCAAACCAACTGATAATATTTAACAGATCGTTTTCCATTTTTATTTTCAGACTCTTCCAGGTTTCTGCAGTGTATAGAATTTGACCTGTAGTTTCATGGATGGTGAGTAGACTATTTATATATAATGAAAAAAGTAGTGTTCCTAGCACTGTACCTTGTGGTACTCCATATTTTATAAATATCTCTTCGCTGATTCCATTTCCTATTTTCACATACTGTTTGCGGCAACTCAAATAATCTGAAAATAATTCATTTGCCACATCTCGCATTCCTGAATCTTGCAGGAAGTCCAACAGAAGTTGGTGATCCACAGTATCGAAAGCCCTTGTAAGATCCAGGAACACACATGCGGTTGGTCGTCTACTACACTTTCATTCCGAAGCAGTTTTTATTCATTGAAGGGCTATATCCCGTGTCAAGCTATTATTTTGATAGGCATTCCATATTGATATGTGAGACATTGTTAATCCACACCTCGGACAAATTCGTTTTCAAAAAGTGCCAGTTCCACGTCAACGGAAACATCAATTTCAATCTCAATTTCAAAAAAGTGTTTATAATATCCACACCAATTCCAGAGTACAAGGATTCATTACTATTAATGTAGAATAATGCCGTTTGACACCATTCAGAGTAATGCTGAAGGAAAGTTGAAAACTATTATTTTCACCCACTAGCTTAGTCTTTCCCTATATCTGTAATAGGAAGTAGTTCTTTCAAGTAGAATCTTTCTTCTTCCTTTTATTTGTATATGATAGGAAAACAAGAATTCAATCTTTTTTCTATTTTTCCATTCGAGCTATTAATAAAAAAAAAAACCGTTTTCATCATCATCATTTTCACTGAATTGATTTCACAAACACTTGTATGTTCATCAATTCATATCATCTATAAACTAAATAACTTTCAAGCGTGAAATACTGCGGTTCGATGAATCTCAAACTCAGAGATTGTTAATAATTACTGTGTAAATAAATAGAAACAGTTCATGAGTCATGCTCTTGACCTCTGCTGATTCTTTGGGCAGTAACTCATTTCAGCCTTGAGAATAATATGGATCAATGCCTTCAGTCCTTCAACAAACTCAATAAAACCCTAGACAAGTGCCATAAAGTCGTGGCAAAAAATAAAACTTCAAGACAAAACAATGAGAAACATCGTTCCATGGAACTTGCAGGAACACCCAAAATTCAATTAGCCGAAGAATTTCCAGTGGGTAGACATCTAGAGTAACCTGGACCACACCAAATACTGTTCCTAACCTTGCTTCAACCTAGACTGTCGGTGCAATTGTTGTTTACATCAATAATGTGCACAATCATGATTAGGAAAAACAAGAATGTCGGCCAGTGGAGACTGTTGCCTCTTTGAGATTTTTGTACCGACCAGTGGTGTACACAAAAATATTCTAGAGGTGAATTCGGGTAAGGTATATTGAGATGCCTGAAAACTAGTACAGCGACTCATAGGTAAGTGCAGAATTTTCATGCAAATCACATAAGCAATATGACATGATGCAAATTGACTTTCGCCTGTTATCTTCATATAACAATCAAATTGTACCTGATTAGTTTTCAGAAAACTGTATTTGAAGACGATATTATCATTATTGTCATTATCATTAAAATGTTCCTGCCAGTGTCTGTGCAACTACCGTGCATTGAATATGGAACATATCAGAAACATACTCTGTTTGAAAAAAAGGCAGTAAATAAAAAAAATCAGAACAATATCTATAATTTGTAACTGTTGTAAAATATTTAAGATGCGTCTAGAAGAGCCACTCTACTGTCATACAAGCAATATAATTGATTTGGACTGGTACACTCTACACTACTGTTACTATCTAATTACACCAGTAGGTGAAATTTGCAATAGAACTTGTATCCAATTAGTCGATGAACTTTTTGGACCTGACAATTACAAAAACATGAAACATGGAAAAACATGATTTTGCAATTTACCACAAACCAATCCACACAGACACAACACTCAACAACCATTTTAAGCACCATCACCAACGTGAAAGCATAAACTAGCAGCTAACCATAGATTGATCTACAGACTCATTATACAACCAAGAATTTTAAAAGAGAATTAATTTTGAAAAAACAGATCGCAGTTAATGACAACTCCAATCCGGACATGATTCATTATATCTTTGATAAAAAAAAAGTTAATACATGCCGTTAAACAAATAT